ATAAAGAATTAACGAACACCGAAAACATCGAGTTCAAAGAGATCATACCGGGAAGAGCGCTAATCCTAAAAACTCGATGGCACAACAACGAGGAACTCACTATCCTCAACATATACGCCCCAAACAACCCAGCGGAACACCAGAACTTTTGGACAACCATTAAAGACTCGGAAATGAACAGAAATAACCAACAGATTGACTTACTACTAGGAGACTTCAATCTAACAGAAGACCCGCTAGACAGAGCCCCCGCACGAACAGACAACGAAGCAGCAACCAACGCTCTTAGGGACCTAAGAGAAACGTTAAATGTACACGACTCCTGGAGAAAAACACACCCCACATCTCGTCTATTCACCTTCTACAGCAACGCAAACTCTTACTCCAGACTAGACAGAATCTACTCCTCCCCCTCGCATGATAATAGCCTGTATGACTGGTCAGCATGCACGTCAGCCATTCCGACGGACCACCATATGATCCTAGTGAGATATGCACCCCCGAATATGCCACACATAGGCAAGGGACGATGGTCATGGCCACTTGGCCTTGTAAACGACGAGAAACTATTAAACAAAATGAGTAAAATAGGACAAATGACACAACGAAAAATAGAAACAAACCAACAATCAGGCGGACTTAACACACAGTCAGAATGGGAGGACTTCAAGATCAAAATACGCCAAGAGGCAAAGAAAACGTCTAAAGAACATATACATAAAATCAACACTAGAATAAAACAACTAGAAAACGACATCAAACTCACCCTACGAGATGACGACATAGACACTAACAGCAACACAAGAAGCCAAAAAGCGTGGCTCGAATGCGAAATTAACCACTTGGAGAAAAAACGATTCAAAAACCTTCAGCTTCGATCAAAAGCAAAATGGAATGCTACCGGGGAAACCATTAGCAAGTACTGGTGTAAGATAAACACACCAAAAAAACCACGAGACATAATCTATCAACTCAAAATACCAAACTCAAACCAACTCACCTCACACTCCGGCAAAATGGCAGAAATTGCAAAACAATACCACGAGTCCCTCCAACAAGAGAACATACACCCTGCAATACAAATGAGGAAAAACGAAGCAAAACAAAAAACAATGAACGAAATACCAAACGAACAAAAGTTCAACGACAATAACTCCCCCCTAAGCCAGCTCCTAGAAGAACACCATATCCACAAAGCGTTATACTCCTCGAAGTCTGGTAGCGCCGCAGGAATCGATGGAATACCATACGAGGTATGGAAACGACTACATGAAAAACACTTAGCCGACTCAGAGAACAACGAACCAAGCTTTAATGTAATTAAAACGCTTACCTTAGTCATAAACAATATACAAAAGAACGGAGTAAAAGACGAAACTGAATTCACGTTAGGATGGATGTGCCCTATATACAAAAAAAAAGAACGTACCGAAATCGCCAACTATAGACCCATAACGCTACTAAACACGGACTACAAACTCTTAACAAAAGCATTAGCAATACAATTAGCCAGAGCAGCCCCGAGACTAATACACCCAGACCAAAGCGGATTCATACCTAATAGATCAATATTTGACCCCATCCGTCTCACAAAAATGATGATTGAATACGCTGACATCTCAGAAGAGGATGGCGCCCTCATTGCGCTTGACCAAGAGAAAGCATATGACCGAATCAGCCATGACTATCTGATAGAAACACTACAAACCTTTAACCTCCCGAATATGTTCATAAACACAGTCAAAGCCCTATACTCAAACACCCACACAAGAGTAGCTATAAATGGAATGTTGAGCGAACCGTTCAAGGTAACAAGAGGAGTAAGACAGGGAGACCCACTGTCGTGTTTACTTTTTGACCTGGCCATAGAACCACTGGCGTGCACCCTAAGAAACTCCAACTTAATAAAAGGCTACGACATCCCAGGAATAACTCACCGAGTTAAAATAAACCTATACGCCGATGATACAACAATATACCTGAATAAAAACGACAAATACTCCGACCTAGAAAATATACTGAATGAGTGGTGCCTAGCCTCGGGAGCAAAATTCAATATGGACAAAACAGAAATAATACCGATAGGATCAAAAACTCACCGGGAACGAGTGATCACAACAAGAAAACTCAACCCAGACGACACCCCCCTCGAAAACTCCATCAGAGTAGCCCCAGACGGCCACCCAATAAGATCTTTAGGCGCCTGGATAGGCAACGAAACAAATGACGCCACGCCATGGGAACCAATCCTAGACAACATCAGCAAAACGTTAAACCGCTGGAACAAAGGCCACCCATCCCTAGACGGTAAACGTCTAATCGCCCAAATGGTGATAGGAGGCATGACACAATTCCTGGCTAAAGCACAGGGCATGCCCAAGAACATCGAAGCCGCACTAACAAGGATAATGAGGAAATTTATCTGGAATAACGAAAAAACCTCACCCATCAACCTAGAGCAACTACAAAAACCAAGAGAGGAAGGAGGAATTAATCTGATAGACCTTAAAGCACGAAACGAAGCAATCGAAGTGACATGGCTACGATCCTACCTCGACCTATCAACAAAAAGACCAGCGTGGGCCTTCCTAACGGACATAATCATCAATAACCTTAAACCGACAGGAATCAATAACACGACAGACCTTAACACCTTCCTACAATCCTGGAACCCACCAACAAAAGGGACAAGAGCGAATAGCATACCAAAAGAAATAATCAACATGCTAAAAATAGCGAAAAAATATAACGTTAGCTTCGCACCAATCAAACTCTCAAAACAACTTAAAAAACAATTACCTGCGTGGTATCACCTAGGCGCCCCACCCAAAACATATCATAAGCAAAAAAACGAATGCCTACAAAACAATCATAAGGCCCAGAAAATTAAACACTTGATTAAAATAAGCAAAAGAATCTCACTCACCAACAACGAGACAACCGATAGCAACAAAAAACACCACCCTCGAAAGAACTGCGCATGCAAATACTGTAAGAAAGATAGAGACCAAGGATGCGAAAACCCACATAAATGCGCCACCATAGCGAAAGAAATACTAAACAAAATCGCCCCAAAATTCAATACAAAATCCAAACCAAAAAAAGACAGCTTATCACTCACTCACAGCAGAAAAGAGAAGAACCAACAAGCACACGAGCGAAGACAGGGAGAAATCATCTTTGACCCCACAACAACGATACGAACAACACTCGGAGACTGCTTTAGAATCTTTACCGACCCATCAAAACAATCAGATAGACCAGCTCACCGCCTGCAAGCCCCAATGAGAGGACTAAACATCATAGAAGAACGTATATCCATCTACACAGATGGCTCATGTCTAAATAACGGAAAACACAATGCAAAAGCGGGCAGCGGAATATGGATATCAGTGGGAAACGAGCGAAACAAGACAATAAGAATACCTGGACACCAGCAATCAAATCAGATCGCCGAAGTAACAGCGATCCTAGTCGCCCTACAACAAACAGAACCCTATATCCCTATAACATTCATATCAGACTCAAGATACGCAATTGACGGACTCACCAAACACTTTAGTCAATGGGAAGATAAAGGTTGGATAAACATTGCGAACAGCGAATACCTAAAAGCCACACTGTACCATCTACGGAAAAGATCAGCACAAACATCGTTCATATGGACGAAAGGACACAACGGAGACCAAGGTAACGAACAGGCAGACCGCCTAGCCCTAGAAGGAGTAAACAAACCCATCGAAGACCAAATAGACCTCTCGATTCCCAATGAATGGAACCTACAAGGAGCAAAACTATCATCAGTATCACAATCACTCGCATATAAAGGAATAAAGAAACAAAACAAAACTAAAAACCCACCAAGAAGAGCGACAACAGGTAACCTCGACATCGCAAGATATGCGATCCAAGAAATCACAGGCAACCTCGAAAACGACAGCGCCATATGGACTGGATGCCGAAATAAAGACATACAAAAAACAATACGTCAATTCTTATTCAAAACAATACATGGAGCTTACCGTGTAGGAGAATACTGGTTGAACATCCCTAATTATGAACACCGCGCCAAATGCGCAACATGCCATGCAGAAATTGAATCTATAGAACATATACTGTTAGAATGCCCGAACAACTCCCAGAACACAATATGGAAACTCACCAAAGACATATGGCCAACAAAATTCGGCGCCTGGCCAAGAATCAAATTAGGGACGATCCTAGGCTGCGGGAATTTGCAATTGAAAAAACAAATACCTAACGAACAAAACCCAAACGAAAGAGAGAACAACAACGACAAAGAAGCGAACGACAAGACAAAAGGCGCAACAAGACTTCTCAGAATCCTCATCTCGGAATCCGCTTATCTAATCTGGATAATAAGATGCGATAGCACCATTAATGAAAAAACTTACACAACAGACACGATAATCAAACGATGGACTAATAGAATAAATAATAGATTACAACTAGACAGAATATCCGCAAACAAAATCATAAGAACTAAAAAATTCACAAAACTAGTTACAAATACCTGGGAAAACACTATCCAAACAAACCCCAATACCCAAATACGAAAAGACTGGGCCACCGCCCTAGAGGTTTTAGTGGGTATTAGATCACCCAGGCCCTCTACGATCGAGGCCCCCTAGGTAATGCAGAGTCCCACACACCCCGCATAATACGGGAGTGCATAAACGCATTTTTCCTCAGACCGGGGTTTCCCGAAACCCTGCTATAGCGCGTATACGTAGAACTAGGCTTAGTCAGTTGCTACCAATACATTTCGCTTGTCCAAAAAAAAAAAAATATTCAACATCCATGCCGTTGACTTGTGACCCACCATCACAAAATGTGACGGTGACAATTAACATTTTTTATAAGTAGTAGTCTCCCTATAAATCTCCCATAATTAAGTGTACCTAGCTGTGTATCTCATGAGTAATTCGTATCTCTCACCAACCTGACTGCACTCTTTATCATGGGTCGACCCCGCCTTCATGCCACGGCGGAAGAAAGAGCTGCTGCTGCGCGAAAATATAGACAGGATTACTATGAAAGGCCAGTTTTCAAAGATCAGCCTCGAGTCGGAAACAATTGATATTCGTTACAGGAACAAGAAAATAATAAGTGTGAAAATGGCAGCCAAATATAAAGCACGACGTGCGCGCAAGCCGAGCATGAAAAAGCATGAGCCTGCGAACGCCACACAACCGTGAGTGGCTCAGTTATTTCGTGGTTCCATTCCTCTTATCGATACAAAGCATCGGGCATTCTCCACAGCCCGAGGGGTATGTTACCGAACAAGAGACATCCGTATCGGATAGCGAGAGTGAACACGAGTCGCTGCCTGACAGTACTTCCCAACGCATCGATTTACGGTATGTGTTCGGGCTCCCGCCACTTTCTTATTTCAACAATGATGGATTCAACCTTAGACAACGCATCCAAGACATTCAAACAGCAGTAGCAGAGACAACTGCTCTTCATGCTGAGGACTACTTCGAGCATCTCTACTCCAGCCTGACGAAGAACTCGAATGATTATCAACTCCGACTGTCAATAATTTCGGACGCCATGAAACTTTTAGAAGGACATAGTTTGCAAGCCCGCACATTAGAGGCAGAACTTGCGGAAGAGAATAGGGTAGGGAAATTGCTATCTCAGGCACAAGAGCTCACACAGACATTACGGGATATGACGGGAGCTGCTGAAGAGCTCTGGTGCTTCATCGTAGACGATCCGGATGCTACGAAGCTCATACAGCAATACTCTCGAAGAGAATTGCGATTTCAACGGCCGAATGTAGACAAATGATCACCTTACTTTTGTTTTCGATATTAGTGATATAAGTAGGCATCGGCGGCTGTTGAGCGGCGTTGTACTGCGCAGTGTCTAGTAGAGATCACTTAGGGAAGTAAAGTGATCGCAAACCGAACATCGTTTTTCTAAGCAATCGCCAACAAGACCACACACGTCGAACCATAAAGGACTCACGTTCATTAGCAGGAAACAACACATCCACCCCGTCTAGCTTCTCTATATCCATGTCACGTTATCGAGGGATGACCCAACATAGGAAGTTCACGGGACGCCTGCGAGTTGTCAGTACTACACGCGCCAGTACTTGTAAGAGCTACATACGATATAATTCCGGGGGTCCACTGAGGTTCAAAATCGAAATCTTAGTCCGTAGACATGACGATGGATGCCGAGTGCATCTCCAGATGCAGATCATACTTAAAAGAGCCATGGAGAAGCCCGACTAAGAGCAGCGGCTTCAGGGCGAAAGGCTCGATTGTATATTCGTCTAAAATATGTGGTGCATAAGCAACGCCAAGCAGTCTACAACCCATGCTCACCTGTGCCTATGTCACATGGCCGTAGTTTCGCATAACCGTCCTGAATGTAATTGAGGGGCGGCGATATGAGTAGGCCTCAAAGCACAAAATCGTATCACTTGTAGTTCTATCGTAGAAAAACGGGGTCATGTCAGAATAACTGCTTGAGCGCTTCTCAAGAAGCGCTCGCGCTACCTTCCCAGAGGTCACGAGATAACATCCTGGTCGAAGATACGGAGTGTATATGGTGGCATGCAGCTCTGTCGGATATATCGGGTGTCAAACAAGAGCAAAAGCAAAAGCAGGCTATAGATATCACTCCATTCATTGTATGCGAGAGTCGGCGTTCATATGATACCAGGGATTAATGAAGGGGCTTTGGTCCTGGAGGTAGAGAGAGTTGTCCTCGCGCTGTCTTCTTGGTAAAACTTGATGAATCACTCTAAGGTCCAAAGCAAGATTCAGGAAGGTGAAGGATGATAGATGTCCCGCTCTCAGAGTCAGAAAACTCCTTGTGTGCCAAGCACACTTGAAGTCGTGGATGATCCGGAACCAAGCTGCATGTTATAGTGCAGGTCAGACTCACTTGATGCACTCGGGTCCCGGGCCTCGTCTTGATCACGCTCAAACACTTTTGAAACTCCGCTTGACCTGCACCTTATTGCTCCCGAGTGCCGATGGGGCTTGCTTTGCCCAAAAAAGAAAGTGACCCCCAGGAAAGCGGGAAATTAACCCGTGAAAAGTGGAAATTGACCCCTTGAAAAGTTTCACCGAGCTGGATTTGAGCTGGATCATGGATGACTCCATTTTCCGAGCTTCACGTGATCTGTTCGGCACACAATCGGCAGAATCTGTATAGTTCACACGCTAATAATTGGGGAAAGCGGACCTGGTCCTTGGTCACACCCGGTTACAGTTCCATACACTTGATTTTTATTTCTCATCGATTGGGTACTGCATAAGTGACTGAGCTCGTATAACTTATTGAAGAATACTTAGTCTAAAGAACTAAACTCAAAATTGAGACTCATCTGAGTCTTAGAGCGAAATAAAATTTAACGTCTATGGTGACGAAGTACTTTAGCCCCATTACTCCCGATAAGGCTCCGGCTCAAGGCCGTATGACTTACAGTCTGCTTTTCAGCCAAACTCATCCTTGGACCGGTACCACCACCACCACCACCACCACGTTCACTAACTCTCTCTAAATTCATGTCATCAAAGCCAGTCAATATTGGCAGTCCACGGCCGGACAATGCCTTTCATTCGGGAACACCAACACCAATTGGCACACCCGATCTCCGCGCTTGGCGCGCGCAGTATACTGGAACACCTCCAGTGCCTAATATTCCTGCGCGCTATACACCAGAAAGCCTCACTAGTGGCTCTCTAGGTCAGAGCCTGCTTCCACAAAGCGAATTTCTAGGCAAGGCCTATCGTTTACCTCCTACTGGAATTAGCCCACGGCCGTCAAGCACCATTACACCTGCAAGTGGTATTGATCCTGCTGCTCTTGACTTCGGCACTCCCCAAGACGATCACAAGGCCAGGGTCATTAGGCGTCATCTTTTGATGCGAGAGGAGAGACAGAACCGGGGAGACGTGAACTCAATATCTGGTTCAGAATTAGACGGTCGCGTCCCCAACGATGAAGTTCCATCTACAGGTTCCTCTACTCCGCCTCCAGCAACTTTCAGAGAGGAATCGGAGGCATTTCCTATACCTTACGAAGCTCCGGGTGCAGATATTACGTGAGTCCGCTCTAACCTTTAGTGTCGTCAAGGCTTGGCGTTTCTTCTGAAAGCTAACAACTACGCCCAAGCCATGATATCTACAAATGGCACACGGATCAGCGCCGTCAGGCTGTGCGCCCTCGTGCCACTTCTTTCTCAGGCTCTGTGACACCATCAAATCCTGCCTTCGAGCACATACACGAGCCTGGAGGTTTCAGACGAAACTATGTCTTGATGCGCGCGAATGAGAATGGTGGAGAGGAGCCACGTCCGACCAACAACTTCATCGATTTTCTGTACATATATGGTCAATTCGTAAGTTTTTATCCTCACGTAGCGCGTCAATCCTCATTAGCAAACAGGCTGGAGAAGATCTCGAGGAAGAAGAGGAAGACAGGGCTGATGACGAAGAAGCTACCATTCGTGCTGCTCCTTCTGAGCTCGAGGTCCACATAGCAGTCGATGAAACCCAACCTTTGCTCAAGCCTCGCTCAATGTCGCGCTCTAGACGGAGAGCTGCTTCTGTGGGTCCTCATGGAGATGCATCAGTCACATCAGCCGTTCTGATGGCAAGTCTCGTCTATTCTCTATCAGGGGGATAGTTTATTTAGCTTGTTTTTAGCTTCTGAAAGCCTTTGTTGGTACCGGGATCTTATTTCTTGGGAAAGCGTATGTGTTTTCATACCAGTATTTTCCTTTCATGTGCTGAGAATGGTCCTCCAGCTTCGCCAATGGTGGTCTCTTGTTTTCCCTTATCATGATTTCTGTGGTGGCACTCGTTTCCTTATATTCATTCCTACTCCTCGTCAGGACCAAGTTTGTCGTCTCCGGATCTTTCGGAGGTCAGTTCAATTTTGTTTGAGTCGATTGTATCTCACTCTGCGATGAAGATATCGGCGGTGCTCTATATGGTCCTTGGATGCGTTATTTGATATTATCTTCCATTGTAGTTTCCCAGATTGGGTTTGTCTCTGCATACACGATCTTTGTAGCCGAGAATCTAAAGGTGAGGATGCTACATTCTCTTAATTGTCGTCACTGAATTCGACTTCGTGCCGTGCAGGCGTTCGTGCTCGGAGTCACCAGTTGCAAGACGGATTGGCCTGTACAATACTTCATCCTTGTACAACTCATAATCTTCGTCCCTCTGGCTCTTATCCGTAATCTCGCGAAGCTTAGCGCATCTGCCCTCATTGCGGATGCGTTTATCCTTGCCGGGCTGGTTTACATATTTAGCAGTGAGATGACATTCATTGGAAAACGGGGTATCGCCGAAGTGCAGATGTTCAACCCCAAGGACTTCCCCTTATTTGTCGGGTGAGTTTCGCTCTTAGAGCGCTTGATTGGCGTCTGAAGAATGGACATAGAACTGCCGTATTTTCCTTCGAGGGCATTGGTTTGGTGAGTCATCCTGTTCCATGCTGGAACGGAGAGACGTTGATGGTTCGGGTTAGGTTATTCCCATTACCGACGCCATGCGTGAGCCACGCAAGTTCCCCAAGGTACTGACAGGCGTCATGATCGCATTGCTTTGTGGGCACTTTTTCAATGTTTTGTTATCTGTCGAGCCTCACCGTGCACTTTCAGTCCTATTCGGTGGTGGTGGTGCATTGTCGTACCTGACTTTCGGTTCGGATGTGAACACTGTGGTCTTAGTCAACCTCGACCAAACAAGCAAGCTCACACAATCTGTAAGCCTATCGCAGTAATTTCGTCGATGGAATCTCACGTCCATTCTCTCGATCTCAAGGTCCAATTCCTGTACTCGCTCGCCATCCTCCTTTCTATACCCCTCCAGTTCTTCCCTGCCGTGCGAATTCTCGAGAATGGGCTCTTCGTGCGAAGTGGAAAGCAAGATCCTCGTGTGAAATGGCTCAAGAACTCGTTTCGCTTTGGGCTAGTCGCCATATCCACTGTCATTAGCTGGGTTGGTGCCGCGGACCTGGACAAATTTGTCTCGCTGATCGGTAGCTTTGCTTGGTAAGTGCGACAAAGATACTCACTTGAGAGTGACGATGGATGAACGATGGTTACAGTGTTCCTTTGTGTTTCGTATACCCAGCGATGCTGCACTACAAGGCAGTTGCCAAAACGCGCACAGAGAAGATCGGGGACATTGTTCTTGGCGTATTTGGTATGGCCGCAATGATGTACACCACTGCGTTGACCATCAAGGTATTCTGTCATTCTTTACTTGAGCGGTAATCCCGTGCTGATCTGATATACACAGCTGATGGCAGAGCCTGGACCACCTGCTGACCTTCCTAGCTCGTGCTGAGTATCGAAAGACAAGGAGCCTGTGTTGTGATATCATCAGTAGATAAGTACAGCACATCTAGGGACACCCATGCCTGACCAAGGGATAAATTAATAGATCTCAGACCTTTCTAATAACATGATGTTCTGCGTATGCCAGATGTCATCAACATGTCTACATTCTTACACGACTGTGGGAAGATCAGGGTCGTTGCAGCTCATTGCGGTTGTGAATCATGTCACCATTATCATCATCGTTCTTCTAGGTGAAAGTTTTGATCCACGACTTTGTTGCGGGTTAAACTCGCTTCTTCGCTGTGTATATAACTGATGCTGACAGGTATCGCATGGAACGTTGGTTTGGAAGTATCTATCTTGGGAATCGATCGTATTTGAAGAGCACTAATCCCGTACTTAGATGGACAATTGTCTACCTGTTGACAGAGCAAAGACTCGGAGCATTCAGGCAAGGGTGATAAGGAGGTACTATTGTCAAGCGACGGAAGTGAGGATACCGCGCTGCAGACGACGGCCTTCTTCAGAGTCCTCTCAACATGCGCTGCACACGTGTTTACACCCGTTTTCCGATCATTGTCCTATAATTCTACCGATCTTAAAGCCCTCATCGAAAACACGCTGATCGCCACATAAATGCCCTTCGCACAGAGTTGACATTCTTTGCTTTCCCCTCCAGCTGGAGCTCGCCAGTCGTGTCATCCGGCCACTCTCTCTCATTCGAGCCGACGATCATCATTTAACACTATATCGTTCCCTTTGTTCTATTATGCCTGTAGCAACTAATGTATCTAGTTCCGTTCCCCAGCCACGTTCCATGGTCCGGCGCAAGCCAGCGCCAAGTATTGTGCTAGATGCACGTTATCCTTGTCCTGACCCCGATGACCCATTCGCACCCCTCTCAGTGCTCCGCACCAGAACTGCCAGCACCCTCGGCCTCCTCACCTTCGCTGGTGACTCAACGTCACATCTCCCAATTCTTCCATATACCGGCGGCAGTCCATTCCCTCCTGATCCATACCAAGCCACGCCGCCGGCCAGTCCCGGTGTCGCTTCTCCTGACCAAAAACCGGGGTCGCTTACGACATACAGCACTAGAAGCAGCTTTGATATTTCGCAAAACCTCCATGACACTACCGAGTCAGGACGATGGCCGCCGCAATTTTCACGATGTGATTCGCCAAGCATTCGTACTTTGCCGACTCCCCAGCGCAGGCGCTCGCGATCAGCCGTCTCGCGAAAAGAAGCGCGGACTAACACGTGTCCCGTGTCACCCGGGACGTCGCCCTATGGCCATACAAATCTGCAGGCATATGTGTTGGCTAGCTCTAGATTTCCCTCCCCTGCGCATTCTTCTCAGCCTTTTCGGATGCAGCATATCGGCCATGGCAGCGAGAGCTTGCTTCCCCTCGTTATCCCAATAGCCCGCCATGACTCGGCCCCAGTGCTATCCCTCCTGTCTGAACCTAGTAGTAGAGCATCAACGTTTTCACCGGAGCCGACGCACACTTCGCGTTCTCGTGTCAAGAAGCTTGCGCGTTTCCTTCCCAGGAAAAGCCGTAGCGGTCTCAGTCTCGCTGAATTCTCAAGTGAGACCGCGAACGTGAAACACCATCAACATCATCGCTCGTTCCCCTCGATGGCCGTTGCTCTCGGAGCAAGTTCCGAGCGCCCGTCCAAAGAGAAACACGTACCAGAAGAGAACACGTTCCGCCCACGCCGTAAATCATCGATGTCGATGCTATTTCCGGCAGTCGTTGCCGCGAACATGCAATCACTTGATGTATCCTATCCTTCAACGGGAACGTCTATTTATGACTCTCCTACAAGTGCTGAGCCTGGTTACATGTCTGAACCTAGTAGCTCTTCCTTGTATTCTCCTTCCGGTCTCGCGTCTGTCACTTCTGAGCTAGCACCTCTCACTCCGAAGAAACCTAGGCCTCAGACGATGCAACCTCAGCAGCGCCTTCTCAATTCGAATGAGCAGTCGTCACGCAAGAAACCGTCGTCGCGTCCTTCCACCGCTCCTTCTAACTTCGCACATGTCTTCGACGAGAACGCCCTTCCGACAAAGAGGCAGCTGCTAGATGCAGCGTCTTGTGTTGTCGTGGCCGAAAACGGCATTAGGGTTCCATTTGGCGATCTCTTCCGGGAACAGAAGACAGTCGTTATATTTATCAGGCACTTTTGGTGAGATTCCAGGTCGATCTTGAACGTGTTTGAGCTTATCGTATCATGCTAGGTGTCCGCTGTGCCAAGACTACATGTTTTCTATCGCCAATACTGTAGATCCACAAGTACTCAAGCAGTCAGGGATCAACCTTGTCATCATCAGCAATGGCTCGTACAACATGATCAAGTCTTACCGACGTAAGCATGCCACCCTTCGTTTCGTTCAACCCATGCTCATTTTCCCCAAGAAATCTTCCGGACGCCCTATGCAGTGTATACCGATCCATCTTCTCGTATCTATGGCATTCTTGGGATGACTGTGAAGGCGGTCGAGTCAAAAGCAGAGCAACGGCGCAGTAGTTACGTCCGACATAGTCGCGCGGGAGGCATTGCCATGGTGATCGCAAATGCTCTGCGTGTCGGCATGCCTGTTTGGGAGAAAGCCGGAGACCCTACTCAGCTTGGTGGCGAGTTCGTCCTCGGGCCAGGGTTAGTCTACGTTCCAGATGTTCTGCTGATGCGAACTTATCCATGTTGTAGAATGACAGCATCGTATGCGCACCGAATGCGAAGTCGCAGCTCACATGCGCCTATCGTTCGGGTGCTCACAGCTGCAGGGGTGCATGTTTATCTCCGTAGTGAGAAGCCGAAATCTGTCGTCTCATCTGATCCCGCCGGCCGGGCCTCTCTTGTCCTTGAGGTGGATGAGGAACAATGGATGGAGGAGCGACGCCGAAGTCTTGCCAGAATCCGCGAGCGGAAACAGGCTCGGAGATTAGGTGTCTGCGTACCTCCCAGCGACGACTCCAGCTTTGAGCAAGATACGGAACGTCAGATCAGACATGTTGCGAGTCACATGACTCGAACTGACAGCATTGCGGAGGAAGATGAGGAGTATGTTATTCCGATCATGAAACCAAAGGCTGGAGAGAGCATCAGCAGCCCTCTGCGAGACACTGATGTTGATGAGCCGAGCGACTCTACTGAAGATGACGACACCGACGATTCATCTGTAGATACGCAATCAATGACGGGCTCCGACACTGTATCTGAGAAAGGACATGTTGGGCTGAGCAACAAATCTGGCGCTGTCGAATTTATTCATGACCTTTCTCCACCCATACCGCTCCTTATCTGATACAAACACACCTTTTTGGATATCATCTAATCTTACCGGAATATAACACATAACATCCACTTTCTAGTAGGCCCAGGAGCTGAACGACGAGATGGTTCAAAGTCAAAATCACTCGCCCAAAGGTTATATGTACTGTATCACCACGATCAACAAGCGTTAGTGGTGTATCGGTAACATTGGGTCTTCCCATGGCCTAGCACCGGGTTCGACTCCCGGCTGACGCATGATCACGAATCGTACAAATATCTTGATTCGTAACTTTTTTCCCTCCACACAACATGAAAATTTTGCCAGGTTTGTTATGCAATTATTTTCACACGTGGGCTTTTACGGATCCCTCGATTGATTTCGTGCTTCGTGAACTTTCAAGACACGTTGGGACCCACGATAAGCTAGGCCTCAAGGCTTCAACGCTCGTTGCTCTTTTTGTTCAACACCGTTCTCTGGAAGTTCTCCAACTGGCTACCGTATAGGGTTATGTGCTGTAGCGCAATTAGAGCGTCGCCGTCAATGTGATCTTGTCCATTTCCCAGCAGGGGCCTGTCCTTCGTTTCTCGGTCTTCCTTCGTTGCATATTTCACCAGTGGACACAAGTAGCACAATTCCGCGTGCGATCAAGATTTCCTGAGCAAAACAACCCAATGATAGGTCTGTGTACTTCCCATGGCCTAGCACCGGGTTCGACCATCAATATCCCAGTCCCGGTTGACGCAGAACTTAAAATTGATGACACAATTCACAACCTTTTTTACTCCTTACACATGAATATTGCTCAGTTCTTCCCCCATTTTCAGTGACTAGGTAAACGATCAATTAATAACGCATAGATACTGGCCACTACGCCAAGTATTGATATAATACTAAGTGACGAACATGTTTAGTTCAAATTATCGTAATGACTTCAGTATTAGGTGTATTCAACCATGATTGTATATCACAATGAGGGGCTTCTTCATCTTCGTCTTCGTAAGACTTCCCATGAACATGGAATAGGCCCACGCGGCGGTACTCTCCTGTGCTTCCTGCAGGAACGACAATCAAGCCCGTTAAGTGGCTAGGGTTATCCCCTTTATTTGAACCAACCACGACAGCTTTCCCCTTGTCAGCTCCAATTTCTCCAGTATCGTAGTCAAAATACCCGTAACCAATGTGTCGTTCCCGCTCCTTTGAAGGCACGGTAACTTCATTGGATTGGCGCGTTTTTGCATGGTTGTTTGAACCCATGTGATCAGGCTCTCCTCCGGAATGTATGCATCCTATTTCGACAACTTCTGTCGACGCCACATCCATGTCCGTGTTAGTTGAATGGTCCTGCGGTGTCATCGCTTCCACCTGAATGTCATTTTCATTAGTGTCATTGCTAGTGATCTGATGGGAGGTGGAAGGTTGTCCTCGGGGTGTGGTTCCTGTCGTATGCGCGTTTTTCCGGCGCACAAGACACGGCACCAATTTCAAGAACAGGTTTGTTATGAAGGGACGACCTATATTTACTGCCTTCAATGCCTTTTTCCTGAGTTTGCCAATGCACATTCGAGTATTGGCATATTCCACCGGAGAAGCAGAAGTGGGCATGCCATTCGGCTCGGGAAGGATGGTGATTTCGATTTGATCTGAGTTCTTGACCGCTAGCCCCGTATCAACAGTGATATCAGCTGCTCCTGAAGCTGGGAAGCTTCGGATGCTGCAAGCTTCATCGC